ATCAAGTGTACTCTGTTTAGAAACTTCCATTGCTTTATAGAAAAAAATAATAATTGATTCTGTATCTTTATTCCAGATGAGCAAATGACTTATCGGTATATGGATGAACTCTTTTTTCATGTTAGCACATTCATTTTCATCAGAACATAAACATATTTCATTGTCAAAATTCTAAAGATTTACTTATTTGTTGTCAAAGAATTGCCTCGTTTATTTTGCTTCGTCTTCTTTTGCTTCATTCTCCGTTGAGTTCTTTGCTTCTTCTCCGTTGAGAAAAACAATTAAAAACTCTAACCATGCAACTGACAATCACTATGGGTATTTAATATGTGGTTTCTGTACATTACAGCTATCTTTCCAATTACCTGTCAGACTGTGCTAGGGAGTATTAGACAGTTAATATATGGGCCCACATTACTATCCAGAATACACATGTCACTTAAATATTTAAAATCAATGACCCAATACTCACCTTTGTTTTTTTCTGTCTAAATGTAAACAAAAATAAATAAAAATAAGTGTACTTTTTTGTTTGTAACAATAAAGTTGGGAAAGATTCTACCGAAGTATTTTGCTAATTCTTAGGAGTTTATTATCTAGTTAGCTAATTGTCCTGGGCCCTGTATTGATTTTGCTCAATAGGAAATTGATCGAGAATTGGAGAAGAAGAAGGAAGAGCTGAATGCGGTACAGAGACAAGCTGATCGCTTGTCTAAGGATGGGGCTGCAAAAGCAGTGGAACCAACCCTGATACAGCTCAGCAAGCGCTGGCGAGATATTGAGAGCAAATTTGCTCAATTTCGAAGACTCAACTATGCACAAATTGTGAGTTGTTCCTGGCAAACATGTATGTTTGCAAATACTGCTACTAACAGAACCCTACTAACAATGAGAGTACCCACTGCTATGCCAACTTGCCTAAAACAAAGTCTCTGGTCAGCAAATGTGGGCCACCTTATTTTACCATAAAATATAAGCCTCGTGGTACACGATTTGCCTGGATAATGCCCTAAAATTTAAAACAACACACACACAAGCAAGCAAGTATAAACAGCAGAGATTCCTTAGTATTCAACAAAAGTACATCTTAATTTTTGTTGCCTCATATTTTCCATAACATTACCGGTTTAAACCTGTCAGCGTGCCATACATTTATTTTGTTCAATAAACATGTGTGACTCAGAAATATGTATTTTCAACCTACCATCCCATGCAAAAACTAATTAGCTTTTATTTCCTCATGATGTACAATCTACACACCTAAGAACAGATTGGAGAATTTTTATTTCTACTTCTTATACATAACATAGTCTCTTTTCAGCTTAATAGGACAATACATAATTTTTCTCAGTTTTTCACTAAACAATTCAAATGATCTTTTTAATAACTTCTGGAGGAGGGAGAATGCTTCTTTCACCTATCCAGCAGACCTCTGCCATTGGGAAATATGTCTTATCTGAAATTGTACTTTCAAATAAAGGATGCAATCAGGTTTGCTGAGTTAAGCTTTCAGGTACTGAAAGAATTGTAGTTCTGGTTTGTATATATGTATTACAGGAATAGCATTTCCTATTTTAAAAAAACCCTGATGAGAGCAACATGTTATGTTCAGTGCATGAGAATTGTATTACATGCACCATTCACTTAATCTCTGGATCAATGTTTCATTTGTAAAACTAGTGAATAGATATTACCTACCTCACAGGGATGTTGTGAGGACGTATTAATGTATATATGGCACTATGGAAATTTCTCATGCTTTTGTGAAATCAGAAGCTAACTTGGGTTACAGAAAATATTTTCATAAAATTTACACAAGTGATCTCATAAATACAATCATATATTGAATATAGATGCCTTTCATTATCATGGAAATTGCCCCCACTTGCTTAGCAGAGAGTGCTTTTTTACAGTGTATTTAGTGCACAGTAATTACAGCTGCAGTAAGATTGGGGGGCTGTAAAAAAAGCAAAACACAGTTGCTGTTAATCTGCTTGGTTATCCCAGTTACATCAGTTCAATGTTTGCTGTACAGGATTTTGGAAAGAGACTACACGCTCAATTTTCTGCCTTTAAGTTTGTGGAGTATATTCCTCAGGTTTTCCATTTCTTGGTGAAACTTTTATTCATTAACCTAAGAAGCCAACAAATCTTCAGTGAAGTAGTTTCTTACTGTTTAGAGATGTATGTATAATGTGGTCAACCATGTATAGAAAGGAATGTGCAGAAAAACTGAAAAGAAATTCACATTCCAGTATTTGGTGTTCTGCTTAGGAGAATTGTTCTTAGAACAAAATATAGAAATCAAGTAATTCTACAACTGGGGAAACAATTTTGCTGCAGTCCAGACAAACCAGTGCGTATAGGAGGAAGATTTTTGTATTGTGCCCAAAGATTCTTCCATTAGGAAAAGATACCTTTGAATCCAGTCCTTTCCCTATACAAATTATACAGGCTGCCCTAGCTATGCTTGGTGGTGAAATAAATGTTCCATCTAGTTGCCAGTCTGCTGTTCTAGGGAAGTTTTTTTTTTTTTTTTTAAGGGCAATATGGTGATAGCATTGCCTGTTTGTCCATAGCCTCTGGTATTTAGAAATACACTGCATTACTTTGCAGCATAAATAAAGCTCTTGTTTGCAGCCATGGTGTTTGGCTTGTCCTCACACACTTTTAAAGGTCAAGGGCTCAACCTCAGCACATTCTATTTCACATAATCCTCCATTCTGCTACTCAATCAAGGAGAGTCCAAAAACAAACAACCTCATAAACTGGAAGTGTACTAGGATGTACTTTTAAAAGAGCATACCTACATTCAAATGAATCCCAAACTGGCTTACAAACAGTAAATAACAATAGTATGATAGAATAGATAATATGATAAAATATGATAGAATAACATAATAGAATGTCACAAAAATGGCATAACTCATATAGAACAATTAACAAATCAGTAAAACAATTACAATCTATAAAACTTTTTAACAAAGCAACTAAAAAATAAGCTAAACATCACAGTTAAAGCAAAAGTCATATATGATTAACAAATCAATACAGCATTTATAATTTATATAAAGTAATAACAATTAATAATAAACAATATTAACAGCATTGACAAAATAGTAAACAAAAAGTAAACAAAGCACTGTTAGTTTCTAACACACACACAAACACACACTCCACACTCCCACAACTCATGATCTCTCTCTATTCAGCTCATTAAAATACACATACACATAGTGCTTCTGAAGATTCCTCAGGCTGGAGGTGGGGCAGGACAGGTGAAACCAATCCCCCCATAATGACAAACAGAGCCTCTCTTCTCACAGTTCTTCCTCTGGAAACCGCTCTCTTATGAAGGCTCTAGGGCTGGAGGTGGTACAAGGCAAGTGGCCGTTACTTATATTTAGTCATCTAAACATGTTCTAAGGTATTATAAAAGTGAATGTTGAAAAATACTGCACATGAAGGTAAGTCTACAGATTTTGTTTTGTCATGTTCAACTACAAGTAGTTCATAGCTGAATTAGTTTTAAGTCTGCTCTGGTTTTATCATTCCTTTAAAAATAAAAGGCTAATACACTATTTTTATAAGAGCACCTCCTGGGAATTGTTCTGCAAACGTATCACCATAGTACTTTTGCTTATCTGTTAGAAACCAGAAAGGATAATTTAACCAATCTATCCACTTTCAGCACAAGTTCACTAAGATATTATTGCTGGCAAAAGCATGTCAAGGACACATATTTAGCCATTTTTTTGATAGAAAAAAATGAAATATGTGCACAGTATTTACATACTTATATAGCAAGCAACCAGATCTTCACACTCGGTTTCTATAGACACAGGTGTGCAGAGAATATAAGGAAAATGAGCAGTCAGGCAGGAACATTTGAGTAATCAAGTCACCTCTGTTGGAAACAGTGCCATACAATTTATCTCTCCTCTTTCAAATTTGATATGTTATTAAGCCACAAGAAAGAATTGGATGAAATCTGTTCCCTCCCAGCCGTTCCATTTAGATCTGAATACTTTGCATCACTCTGCCAAATGGAGGGTTTTAATTGTTTGGTGGTAGGTCTACAGTGTGTTCATACTTGCAAAGTGGTGTTATATGGCAGTGAGGGTTATGATAACACACTGAATTTAAATGTGTAGCTTTTCTACATCTGACTGAATATCTAAGCTGTTAAGGCTATGTATCCCCCCACTCCCAAATGCAATATTGTCAATTAATTCAGCACAAGATCACAATGGTTATTTTCCTGCTCCAATGTTTTAATTTTTTACAATTGAGTATGTTATTTGGGCAAAGTGCCATGCAATTTTCACATTTCCTCTCAATATAATACAGCTTTCAGAATTGCTTTTAGCAACTGAATACAGTGCAGTTGGCTTAACAAAGATGCACTGGTGAATAGAAAGGATGAACAATTAACAGAAAGGGCTTCTCAGGGAGCTTAAAAAAAAGGATTGTCACTTATTGTTTAGATGTCTATTAAAGTTAGTGACTCTTTCAAAGTTAACAAGAGACTCACACGCCTTGCATAAATTGAATAACAAGACAAATAAGGTTCCTGTAATTTTTTAACAACAATGAGCCCCTATAGCCTACCTACCTTGTTATATTATCTCCTTGAGTGCAGTATTGCAGCTGTAGTGGTGAGCACTATATCGTATTTATAGAAGGTTGTTTGGTTTATTCATCGTCTTTTAGTTTCACTGATGGCAACAGAGTTACACAGTATCTTGTCCCCACTCTTCTGTTGGTGAAAGTGTGATTTCATTGCATTTCATAAAGGGCTTTTAATGTAATGCAATGAAAGCACTTATGTTGGGTGCCAGTTAGCTACCAGGCTAAATGCAAGGTTCTGGTTCTGGTGTATAAAGCTATATACAGCTTGGGATGAAGATATCTCAAAGATCGCCTCACCCCTTATTTTTATCCAGTCAATCACAGTGCTCTGAGGTGAGAGCTTCTGACAGATACCATCTTATCAGGAGGCCTATTCTCCAGCTCAGCTGGCTAGAGCGTGGTGCTGATAACACCAAGGTTGCAGGTTCAATCCCAATGTGGGACAGCTGTATAGTCCTGGACCAGATGATCCTCATTCTTCCAGATCTGCAATTCTATGATTCTGCACATTATAGGAATCAGGCCTTTAGTGTTGTGGCACCAGCCCTTTGGAATGCCTTCCCCTTAAATATCAGACAGGAGCCATCTCAGTTGCCTTTTTTGTGCCTTCATGAGATATTCTTCTTTCAACAAGCCTTTTATGTTGAGATGTTTCCCAGTCTGCATCTGTGTTGGAATTGCTTTTAAGATGTTTTTATTGTTTTATCACTTGTTGCTTGTCACCCTGGGCTTTTTTGGGAGGAAAGTCAGGATATAGATTTAATAAATAAATAAAGGTTCTTTTGTACACATACTGGGCACTGTAGATGGGCCTAATTCAAGTCCATGCCATTTTCACCTCTTTTCTCACTTAAAAGTCTATCCCATCCCATCCACACTAATCTGTTAAAAATAAATAATCTATACAAACTATCACATTCAGATATTCATTCAAAAGAATGTTTTCCCCTCAAACTGCACATTTCTCATTGTACTTTTGATACATTTTTTAAAGCAATAATTACACTGGAATATTTTGGAAATATGGTGGATGAGCAAATACGATGTGCGAAATATGGGGGATAAGTGAATTTCAGTCTGAATATTAGTTCTGGAGGTACAGATCAGATCAATTCACAGTGTAATTCTCTGAGATCAAATTCTTCAAGCATTCTTGCTGGAAATGGCTTCCTTTTATCAAAAAGAGTAATAGGATTTGAAGGGCATTCCACATAAGATCCATCACACAGTGATTTATAATTAGCTGAAGCCGTTTAAAGCAGTTTCAGTGTTATAAGTTAAGAATGACTACTCTGAATATTTGCTATGCTACTGCTTCTACTAATACTAAATTAAAATAATAAAGCTAAGCATTATAAATGAGTATTTTCATTTGTTTCTTATAGTAAAAAATAATAATACAATGATAGAATACCTTTAACAGCTGCATATGCATTTGTGAATGCTAGCAATAATTGTTACTTGTTTCTAAGAGAAATAGTGTAAGTCTGAGTGAAAATAATTTTATTGCATACGACCTAAATGTGGTTCAAATATCTGCTTCACAGAAAGCTATATACACTTACCTATCAAACCTGCCTCATATAGGATATTAAAATATGGCATGACTATCAGGATCTGCTGTGTGGTGGGCTAGAACTGCAGTCCAAATGGCCATGGAATACACCCTGTGGAGAGGAATTCTGCATTTCAATCAGCTACTGAAGGTCACAAGCAGGCTGCCTGGATTAAACTTGTATTTTATATATCAACTTAGGTAGCAGTTGGGACATGTCAGGGAGTGGGGGAATATCATGGGGGTTTGGGGTTTTTTTTTTGTTTTTTGTTTACTCTAATTGCAAATATTGTGCTACGAAGCACAAGAAAATAAAATGAAAATTGACTTTAATCATAGAATATTTCATGGAAAGCTTGACGTTTACATCTTCCTACCCTATATATCGGGTGGAACAGACCAGTATTTAAATACCATTAAATACGGTGCTTTCTCCACCTCCAAATATTCTTTTACTTTTTTAAAAAAACAAGATTTAGATGGGGGGGAATAAACTCTGAAAAATCTCCTCTGCAAAATTGATATTTAAACAAATGCTTACGTTTCATTAAAAGTAAATGGAGATAAGCAAAATAACATGTTGCTGCAAAAAGGCAGATTAAAAAAAGTAATATATGAGAGAGTGTGTGTTGACTATGGGGGAAGGGCAGAGTTCTTACTGTGGAACACTAATACAGTGGTACCTCGGGTTAAGTACTTAATTTGTTCTGGAGGTCCGTTCTTAACCTGAAACTGTTCTTAACCTGAAGCACCACTTTAGCTAATGGGGCCTCCTGCTGCTGCCACGCCGCCGGAGCACGATTTCTGTTCTCATCCTAAAGCAAAGTTCGTAACCTGAAGCACTATTTCTGGGTTAGTGGACTCTGTAACCTGAAGCGTATGTAACCTGAGGTACCACTGTAGTCTTTACGAATCCTTGACATGCACCTTTCTAGGATGATGCAGATACATTTCAATGTTCTGATGCTAAAAACTGCATTATAAGTATCAGACAAAACTGCTTTGCAAATATTGGCTGCAGCCTGTGGTTAGTGTGGAGGCAGCTTAAACACAAGTCCTAATTTGGGCAACATGGTGTGGCCTAGTCAGAAAAAGAACAAAGGAGCAAAGCAGTTGCAATTTCCTCTTCAGGAGGTTAAATTCCCACGCAGTCATGGTAAGCCATAGTTTGGCTTATAAGGTCATGTATTTATTTCATAATTATATAATGTTGTGTGTTACTGTTTGAAAGCAATATCTTGCTAATTTACATGTAATGCCTGGAAAGTCCTCCTCTTGTACAATCTAATACAGTGTGAGTACTGAGGAAATAAAATGAATGCAAGGATAAAACTGGTTTTCTAAATAAAATATGTTTTTCTATGTAATTGGAAATCAACTAATGTATCAAATACAGGGCAACTTGTAGATTTACCGGTATGTTCATATAGTTACAAAGCCCTCATTTGAGTGGGGGAAAAAATCAATCTTGAAGGCAGATCCAGAGAGACCTATATATACCTCAAATCACCTTTATGTTTTTCATAAAATTAATGCAAAATTTATATACATCCAATATGGAGCAAACCTTAGCTGTTCTGGAGACTGAGAATTTGTCTTCATTCAAGTGGGACAATCTCATAGTTCACTCTGGCATAGCAAGCAGTGCATGAAAAAGGCATTTATATCAAGCCTAAGTAAATATTGTAAATTCCCTGGAGAAGAATTTCTCTTTTGGTGTTAAGAAATCCAATATTTATTTAGTTCTTCATGCTGTTCCATACTACCTGGAATTAACACCTATTGTTTCAAGAATTTCAGGTACTATAGTTCTGGATGTATAGTGGACATGTTTTAGAGTCTTAAGGAAATATTCCTAAATTTGTGAAACTCTTCCTCAGATGTTGTCTGGCTCTCTTACACTTTTGAGACCAACTCTGATTTTGCTTCTCACAATACTGAGATGAAAGTAAACTATTACTTCTCCACAACCATCTTTGCATTTTCAGAATGAAGTTTGACCTTCCTTAATCTTTTCATAGGCCTCTCAATATTACCTTGAGAGAATAAATCAACTTTAAAAGGCAAATTGAATATCAGCATCTGTGAAACAAGTATAAAAATTCTGCAGCTCGGGGCATCCCAAAAGTTAACAGGATTGTATCAATTGCTGCCATTCTGCTTGTACAACAGAATTCCACTTGTACAATGGAAACACCTGCCCTTATCCCCTTCAGTCTCCTGCACACCCTGAAAATCTGCTCCAGAACATTGGAGGATGATTGAAAAGAGGAGAGGAGAGGAACGTTCTGCTGTTTGAGTGGAATGCTGCTTATACAGCATTGGATACAATCACATATACATAATAATACTATGCTATAGCGTCCTGCGTTTTCTCAGAGCCAGCTCCTTTGTTACACATATATGGAAAAGAGAAGCACTCTTCAGGTAGCTGGGCATGTGGATACCCCCTCTCATGAGACCTGTGGGCTCTGATGGTTACCTGGTGCTCATAGATCTCACAGGTAAGACTGTTCAGTCGTACTTTATATAATACAGTCTAAAAGGGGGAAGTAACCCAAGCAATTTGTGCTTCTTCTTCAGTTATATGCCATTTTTGAGCTGGCGCTATGTAGTTTTTGATACAGGGAAAACAAGGAGATATAGACAGAACTGTGTCTCATAAGATATGTTGATGTAAGCCTGCAGTTAGTAATGTACAACACAGCAGTGGTTAAAAAACAGAGTGCTATTAGTGTTAAATGAGGGCAGTCAAAAAGATTATGCATATTCAAAATTATGATGAGAGAATACAGTATGCTTTGTACAATTTTTAAACAATAAATATTAACTGATATTTTCACTTTTCGAAGTGGCTCGGTTATAGTACTTTCAGATGTACCAATAGATTTATCAACATTCTGAAAATATTTCCATCTGGATGTAAAAAGCAAAAGTAGTTGTGTTGGTGCATAAGAAAAATCCCCACCATCCATACTTGGGCAATACCTTTATTAGGACTAACCAAAATGTCCTTAAATCAGGGCAAGCTTGACATTTTTGGTTGATCCTAATAAAGGTATTGCCCAACCATGAATTTTGGGCTATATTGATATGTACATAATATCCCTGAGATTTATCTCAGCACTTTGCAAAGTCTGCTATTTAGGACCTTTCACATTTACTGAGTTCTATAATAAATTCAGAGGAGAGTTTAGTTGATCAGAAAGATGTAATTAAACTTGCACAATGCACCCCTATATAGCTTTTATACTGAAAATACTATTCCAATATGTTAGCATCTTGATGCAGACTGTGATAGGCAGAGCTTAAAATACTGGGAATCTGCCTTGCATAGCACATTCATCCAATTTAAGATGACATGATTTAAGCAACTTCTAGAACAAGCATATGCTTATTTGGCTATCTGAATCTTCTTCCTTCCCTAGAAAGAGTTATGTGGGGTCCACCTTGGGATTTTGTAGAATAGTTGCCCTAAGGCTGTTGTACTTATTTCAACAACTTAAAGTCGAGCTTGTTCTCTTAGACAATGGTTTATCTATTGGGTAGTGGAATGGTGCCAATTTTTGCCCTTTGTTCACCACCATTTTTGTATAGAAGTGAGAGCTGGACCATAAAGAAGGCTGATTGCCGAAGAATTGATGCTTTTGAATTATGGTGCTGGAGGAGACTCTTGAGAGTCCCATGGACTGCAAGAAGATCAAACCTATCCATTCTGAAGGAAATCAGCCCTCAGTGCTCACTGGAAGGACAGATCGTGAAGCTGAGGCTCCAATACTTTGGCCACCTCATGAGAAGAGAAGACTCCCTGGAAAAGACCCTGATGTTGGGAAAGATGGAGGGCACAAGAAGAAGGGGACGACAGAGGATGAGATGGTTGGATAGTGTTC